AAACTAGTTACTTGTCTCTATTTCTCCTAATATTGAACAGGCATAAAAATAGTACCTACTTCATAATTATCGTGAGAATTAAAGGGGTTAATATGTGTGAGGCACAAGAATTGTGCCTGGCATATAGGGAGTACTTCATAATATATTAAATATTGTTATAGTTGTTGATTTTCAAACTGGTTCTCTCATCTGGAAGTAGCAAAGAATTATTGGCCCACATGTCATGATTGTGGGCTCAGGAAAAATGTTACCAGGCCTGCGGAAATTATGAGGCCTTTCATGGTTTGCCCCAGGCTTCTGTCTTTGAACAACAGCACCATATTTCACAGCCCTGAGGTTGAGAAGAACACCCCCATATGTCTTCCAGGGCTCTCCCCAACCTAATCTCCAACCTTGCTTTTTGCACTGTGGATTGCCAATTAATGGCAAACTGGAATTCTCGGAGAACCTTCAAGGAAAACCCAGGCAGATCTTGCTCACCTCACCTCCCACGGGTGGCATTTCGTTTTTTATTTAACTGAAGAATTTTTCAGTGAAAATGGATTTATCTCCTTTTAAATTTTGTACAATCACCACTAAATAAAACGTTGATTTCTCTGAACAACTGTACCAAATTTTATGCACCATTAATATGACATTAACATTACTTATGGTTATTATAAGAGCAATAAAGAGGACAATATATGATCTCTAATGATTCAGTAAAAATGATGCAAATATCTCAAGAGAAAACAGCGTAACATTCATTTTTCCCTAGCACAAGATCAAGGAATAAAGAGACCAAGGAAAAGTCCAAAAAGAAATTTAGAAATGGTGCATTAAAAGTTAATGATTTCAAGGCCAGGTGAGGTGGCTCACGCCTGTAATCCCAGCACTTTGCGAGGCCAAGGCGGTCGGATCATGTGAGGTCAGGGGTTCAAGACCAGCTTGGCCAACATGGCAAAACCCCATCTCTACTGAAAATACAGAATTAGTCGGGCATGGTGGTGCGCACCTGTAATCCCAGCTATTCGGGAGACTGAGGCAGGAGAATCGCTTGAGCCCAGGAGGCAGAGGTTGCAGTGAGTCGAGATCTCGCCACTGCACTCCAGCCTGGGTGACAGGGTGAGGCTCTGTCTCGATAAGAAAAAATAATAAAATTAAAGTTAATGATTTCAAAAAAGCCTTTTAAAAGCACCGCCCCGCCGGAAGTTGAGTTTTCTGCAAGCCATAGGAGACAGCGCCACCTACCGGCCCCGAGATTTGCTCAGCTCTAGAAAGGGGCAGGAGGACAGGGTGGGTTTGGGGGCAAAATGGCACAAAAGAGTTCAGTCTCAAGCAGTTTTGGTGTTGATGCAATCTGGATGCCTGGTCACCTTCTCTATAAAGAGACTTGGAGCTTACTGAGGCTTCTTGTCCACAATGCGACTCTTGGTTTCTAGACTCTCGGGGAAAGAATGGGAAATGATGTGATGTGACCTCGAGCTGGACCATCATTAGCCAACTCAGTGACCTGAAACGGTGCTTCTCAAACTCCACCGCACATTCGAAGCACCTGGGAGCACGGGCGCGGCGGGTGGCTCCTGGAATCCCAGCTACTCAGGAGGCTGAGGGGAAAATGGCTTGAGGCCAGGGGTTAGAGGCTGCTGTGAGCCACGATTGTGCCACTGCACTCCAGCCTGGGTGTCGGAGAGGGAGAGGGAGAGGGAGAGGTGGAGGGGGAGGGGAAGGGAGAGGGGGAGGGGGAGGGGGAGGGGGAGGTAGAGGTGGGGGGAGGGGGAGGGGGACGGGGAGGGGAAGGGAGAGGGAAAGGGAGAGGGAGAGGGAGAGGGAGAGGGAGAGGATCATGCAGGTAAGAGTTTAAATACTCCTGAGACTCAGGTCTGCCCTAGCCTGATGAAGTGCTCTGGAATGGGACCCAGGCATCAGTGACTTTTATACCTCCTCAGGGGATCCCAATGTGAAGCTAAGACCTGCTGCTGTCAAGGCAGCGGGCCATCCCATGCTGTTTCACCCAAAGCTGACCTCAGAGGACCTTCAGTCTAATGCGGAGAGCCAGCAGTGTGACATGTTCGTTTTCTCATCCTGTCTTAGGGCTGTGCCTAGAAGGTGTCCTCAAGGTTGGAGATGGCTCTACATAATAACTCACTCCCCACTTAAAAAATAAAACTAAAAAGAACTGGTTACAGGACCAGTTGGGACATGAAGGAGGCAATTCTACTTGAGAGTGCTGGTGGAAGAAAGGAAGAATTAGGAAAAGCTAGCCAGAGGAGATAATGGTTTAGTTGATCTAGACAGATGGAAGTATGTATTAGGTGCCATGGTCTAAATGTTTAGGTATCTTCAAGACTCGCGTATTAAATCCTAAAGCCTGATATGATGCTATTAGAAGGTGGGACCTTTGGTAAGTTATTAGGTCATGGGGGTGGAGCCCTCATGGATGGGATTAATATCCTTATAAAAGAGACCCCAGGCCGGGTTCAGCGGCTCACGCCTGTAATCCCAGCACTTTGGGATGCCGAGGCGGGCGGATCCACAAGGTCAGGAGATGGAGACCATCCTGGCTAACAGGGTGAAACCTCATCTCTACTAAAAATAAAAAATTAGCTGGGCATGATGGCGGGCACTGGTAGTCACAGCTACTTAGGATGGTGAGGCAGGAGAATTGCTTGAACCCCAGGGGCAGAGCTTGCAGTAAGCCAAGATCGTGCCACTGCACTCCACCCTGGGCAACAGAGCGAGACTCCATCTAAAACAAAACAAAACAAAACCCAGAGAGATCTCTTGCCCCTTCCAACACGTGAGGTTGCAGTGAAAAGATGAGGAACTGGGTCCTCACCAGACACCAAATTGGCTGACACCTTGATCTTGGACTTCCCAGCCTCCAGAACTGTGAGAAATAACTTATGTTGTTTGTAAGCCACTCAGTCTGTAGTAGTTCATAAGAGCAGCTCGAACAGATTAAGACATTAGGTAGTTGAAGGAAATGGGCATTCCCAAATGGGAAAGCAGCATGAGGGAAAGCATGAGCAAAGGAATGGAGGCATGAAGAGATGGTATGTTGGCTGGGCACAATGGCTCATGTCTGTAATCTCAGCACTTTGGGAGGCCAAGGCAGGTGGATTGCTTGAGCTCACGAATTCAAGACTAGCCTGGTGACATGGCAAAAGCTCATCTCTACAAAAACCCAGAAATTAGCCAGGTGTGGTGGCATGTGCCTGTAGTCCCAGCTACTCAGGAGGCTGAGGTGGGAGGATGGCTTAAGCCTGGGAGGCAGTTTGCAATGAGCCAAGATGGCACCACTGCACTCCAGGCTGGGCAACAGAGCCAGATCTTGTCTCAAAAAAAAAAAAATTAATTAAAGAGGTGGTGTGTTTAGGAAACAGCAGATGTGGCCAAAGTGTTAGTGCACCATAGGGAGGGGCATGAGGCAAAGCCAGCACTATCAGCGGCAGTAACCGGATATCTAGAAGTGCCATGCCACCAGGAGTCTTTTATTCTATGAGCTCTATTTCTCAGTGAACGATCCCTGAAAGCTTAAGCAAGGGAGTGTCACAATCAGGTATGCATCATAGAAAGTTCACTGTGACAGCCCTCCAAGATGGCAGGACGATTAGTAAGGAAACCTTTGCAATGGTACCAGCAGGCAGAAACAAATGAATTATAGGTCATGTTGCACAATAATAAAAAAGAACTTTTTGAATGCAAATGCAAAAGTCATTTTCATAAACATTATACATATGCATGTTTAGGAGATTATTTTTATTCAAACAATAGCAATGGAAGTCTTTGAAGAATGGCCCAGAAAGCCCAGAATTAGTATGGCTCAGGACCTTTGAGAATTGAAAGGAGCTGGCATGCTCTGGTTCAAAGGGGGATCAGGAAGGGGGAAAGGCCTCTTTAGAAATAAGGTTCCAATAGCCTTCTGCCAGTACTGAATCCAGAACAATATTTAAATATAAAGGGGGTAATATGCAGGTCAGAAATAGAGTCCGTGATGACAAATTACAGTGGCCAGCCAATTTTGAGTTCTGCCTGCATTAACTCCGCTGCTGTTAACTGATTGGTTTATGGCTGATTTCTTTAGTGGGGCATTAATAGCTCACAAGGGTATGTTTCTTGTATGTGATTCACCACTTAGCCATGAGAATACAAGAATAAACATAAGTGGTATCAGTGAGGATTTTTTTGACTGCAAATAACAGGAAAAAACTACTCAAATTGGCCTTGTAGCTGAGGAAAGGCCAGAGCCTTCAGGTATGGTTTGATCAAGGTGCCAGGTCCATTTCTCTCTGGGTCTGTCCGCTCTTCGCCTGTGTGTGTGTCAGCTTTGTCCCCAGCAAAACAGAAGCAGTTTAAGACCTCACACCCTCAAGCTCACTTTTCAGAAGAAGAAAGTTTCTCTTTCTCCAAACTTCCTACCAAAGTTTAGGCTTTATTCTAATTGTATCCACTTATGCCACACGTTCACTTTTAGGACAATTACTGTGGCAAGGAGGCATGGGATTTCACTGATTGGCTTGAGTCCACTAGGGCCAACCTCTGTAGCTGGGAGCAGGATCAGCCCCACCCAAAATGCTTGACCGTTTCATCATGGGGTAGGAGTGGGATGTGCACGGGAGAAGCAAATGTCTCCTGTCCAGTAGAATGTTACCTTGGGTAATCCAATAACCCCTAATAAGGACAGCAGATGTCAATCACTCCCATTTACCATGTATCATGTTTGTTATTTAAAATGAGACTAACTGCTGTGTGCATCATCAAAACCCCCAAACTTAGCCTGGGCAACATAGTGAGACCCTGTCTCTACCAAAAAAAAAAAAAAAAAAATTAGCTGGGCATGATAGCATACTCCTGTAGCCCCACCTACTCAGGAGGCTGATGTATGAGGATTGTTTGAACCCAGGAGTTTGAGGCTACAGTGAGTCATGTTCATACTACTGCACTACAGCTTGGGTGACAGAGCGAGACCGTGTCCCAAAAAAAAAAAAAAAAAAAAAAGCCCCAAACACAAGAAAGGACACCATCTGACAAAGGCACTTTATTGCTTTACCATTCACAATTAACAGTCAAGAACAAATAATAATAACAAATAAAATAACTTTTAAGAGGACAAGACATTAGAAATAAAAAGGACACTAATAACATTTGTAAAAGCTTGTGCTGGATATGGTTGCCCCCATTCGTGTATGTGTGTGTGTGGCTGTATGTGTTGGTGGCCACAGCTAAGCCTCTGTCACCAGGGAAGGCTGAGGCTCCAAAGGCACACCTCAGGAACCTATACCCCGAGGCTGGGTGGCTGGACCCCTGAGCTTAAGCTCCCTCTCGCACCCTTCGCCGGACAGCATGTCTCCAATTTCAAACTGACCTAAGGCTCTTACTCCTGGGTTTTTTGTTTTTACATCTTCTCCCAGCCAGTCTTTGGAAGGGCATGATTAGAGAAGTGCTCCTTTGCTGATGGAGGAGGGGACCTAAGGAAGAAGGTGGATCTCAGGTGCCTCCTCTCTAATTCATCCTCCCCGCCCAGTTTCCTTTGCCTCTCTTCCTTCTACCCCGTCATGTTTTTTTACGCTCTGCCCCTTCTGCCTCTTAGCATTTCAAAAACTGTAGAGTGTACCCCATAGTGGGCATTTTTAGTCTAGGCCTTCTAATTAGCATCAGAAAGTTCCTGGATTCCCAGTCGCCTCCTGAAAAAGCTGAGAGATATGTCTCCTTCCAGGCTTCTTGGGTGAGGCTAGGTTGCAAGCTCTGAGCTGTTCAAAGGTTGCCAAAATCCCTCCAATAGAAGCAGTATCCCTATTCTGATGGGTCAGAGAGTGAGCTTGTGACCCTTGAAAGATGGTGAGTATCTCTTCTCATCTCCTCGGACCTCCACAGTTGATGCATATGTTTCCCAGGGGAATTAGGTCATTTATTTCAACTCAAGAGCAATGTTCAGCAAGCAATGCTGGGGAGCTTTCATCTACGTTGGAAATGATTCTTGTTGCCCTACCAGGAAAGAAAATTTAAAAAACAACCCTAACCATTGTCTCAGTACTTTGTACTGATCGAAGAAAACCACCTCTCTGACAAGCATCTAATAGCATCTACTACATTTAGTGTCATAGACTCTCATTTTGCAAGCGAGCTGGATTCATTGCAAACATCCACCACTTCCATTCAGAGAGGCAGGCAAATGTCAGATGGAAGAAAAACCCTGGAGGCCAGATCTTTACTAGTGCTCACTTCTCCATCAGTCTTTCTAAATGTTCTGAATAATAGCTTGTACATTGTTTGGGGGCCATGGCGGGTTCCACATTCTTATGATTCTAGACAGAAAGAGAGAGGGAGAGATAATACTCTTAGAAAATACTCCAACAGAAACATATGAGATCATTTAGATCTGTAAATTATTAACATTACTTTCATTATTTGTCTTCTTCAGCTTTCTCCCACATTCTCTCTATCGTTTCTCTCGTGTCTCTTCCATTCCCCATCTCTTCCCCAGCTCCCTTTCTCCTCTTCCTTCACCATCTTCCTTCTTTCCATCTCAGTCTCCTGTCACTCTTCCTCCAAAAGTCTCGTACAGGCTTCCTCCTTTCAACATTTCATTCAATCACACTAAGCAGTGCCAGCTATGATTATCCAGTACAAACCCAGTGGGTACAAGCTATTGTCCTTGAAAGTTCTCCCTAGAGAAATACAGTATTGCCAGCCTAACTAGCCTTATCTCCTTTAAAAAAAAAAGCTATATTTTTATTATTATTATTTTTTGTAGAGATGGGGTCTCATTATTTGCCCAGGCTGGTCTCAAACTCTTGGGCTCAGGTGATTCTCCTGCCTCCGGCTCCCAAAGTGCTAGGAGTATGGGGATGAGCCAACAAGCTAAGCTCCATTTTATCCCTTTAGAAATGGACTGATGCCCAGTTCAGTGGCTCATGCCTGTAATCCCAGCACTTTGGGAGGATGAGGTGGGAGGATCACTTGAGCTCAAATATTTGAGACCAGCCTGGGCAACATGGCAGAAACCCCCGTCTCTACAAAAAATACCAAAATTAGCCGGGCATGGTGGCATGTGCCTGTAGTCCCAGCTACTTGGGAGGCTGAGGTAGGAGGATCACTTGAGCCCAGGATGTTGAGGCTGCAGTGAGCCAAGATCATACCACTGGTCTCAAGTCTGGGTGACAGAGTGAGACCCTGTCTCGAAACAATAACAACAACAACAACAAATAGAACTAAAAAAATAGATTGAGTTGCCTTGAGATCAAGCAGCAGGGAAAGAGAGCATTGCCTTTACACAGCCTGGTGAAAAGGATCCCACAGAACTATGTTTACATCCAATGTCCTTCCCTGGTCCTGCCGGAGGACCTAGGTCTTTAAACAGCCTGAGAAGTATCATCATGATCTCTGGAGTCATATTCATGGAAGTTGGTAATCTAAAGGACCTTTGAGGTATCTAAATTAAGCTGCCCTTTTTACAGATGAGAAAAGCAAAGGCCAGGGAAATTAAGTGATGTGTCTGAAATCACATAGATGCTCAGAGTTACAACAGCAGAGAACTCCCTTTTTGATCTCTCTCTCTTTCAGTTAAGAAAAAGAAAAAGAAAGCCTGCAGGGCAGCCAAGGATTGAAGATCCAACAACCAGGTCTCTGCTCTGCCCTGGTGCATTCACTCCCAAAAGCAGGAGCAAAAGCCCACTGACTCACCTAATAGTCAGGGCGGGGCACGTTGCTCTGGCTTACATAGGGATTTTGCATCTGGCTGTCTCTGGAGGCCGCTATCCTGACCTTAGGAAAGATGCTCCCTTCTGCTCCAACATTGGTGAAGCCTGTCGACTGCAGTTTTAGATTTTGAAAGTCTTTGTCAATCAAGTTCTCTTCTTCAATATCCTTCTTTTTGTTATTTGATCTGTAATCAGTAAGAGGAATTAGGATTTGACAATGACAGAAAGTTTCTTGAAGTAAATGTTAACATTCTTTTTAAAAATATTTTCAAATTCTGAAATAATTTCACATTTATTTGTAAGTTACAAAATACATATATTACAGTGTTCTCACACACTTATCACCCAGATTCCCCAATTATTAACATTTCTGAACCAATTAAGAATAAGTTGCATAACCAAAGAACACCAACGGTTTTTTTATGAAAGAATAAGTTGCAGACTTGATGCCCCACTAAGAATGAAATAAAACACTTCATTATTTTCTTCAGTGTAGGTTCCCTAAGTTTAAGCTCATGAGCTCTGAGTATCTACAAAACCTGGACTTCAATGCTGATCCAACATAACCATCTAATTCCACTGGCCTCATTCATATTTTGCTCATAATATTATTATTCTTAAGTGTGCTTTTGAATTATTTCTGGAAATGATAATAGAGGTCAAAGAGAAAAGATAATTTGTGATACAGCATTTCATTCAAGCAAAGTCAACATCTAAGAATCACCTCGGTGGGTAAAATGAGTAAAATAAGTTCAAAGACGTGAAAAGAGGCTGGGCTTGGTAGCTCACCTCTGTAATCCCAGCACTTTGGGAGGCCGCAGTGGGCAGATCACTTGAGGCCAGGAGTTCGAGATCAGCCTGGCTAACACAGTGAAACCTCATCTCCATTAAAAATACAAAAATTAACCAGGCACAGTGGCACGTGCCTCTAGTCCCAGTTGCTCGGGAGGCTGAGGCAGGAGAATCGCTTGAACCTGGGAGGTGGAGGTTGCAATGAGCCAAGATCATGCCACTGTACTCCAGCCTGGGTGACAGACCAAGACTCTGTCTTAAGAAAAAAAAAACAAGAACAAAATATTTCAGGAACCTAAAATCTGTTTATCCTCTCACATTGTAGTGGAAAACTACTTATTTTGCCATAATATAAGACATGAACTAAATGTTAGAAAACAGTAGCTTTAAAAAATCAAAATGTCCCAGCACTTTGGGAGGCCGAGGCGGGCGGATCACGAGGTCAGGAGATCGAGATCACAGTGAAACCCCGTCTCTACTAAAAATACAAAAAATTAGCCGGGCGCGGTGGTGGGCACCTGTAGTCCCAGCTACTCGGGAGGCTGAGCCAGGAGAATGGCATGAACCCGGGAGATGGAGCTTGCAGTGAGCCGAGATCGCGCCACTGCACTCCAGCCTGGGCCACAGAACTAGACTCTGTCTCCAAAAAAAAAAAAAAAAAAAAAATCAAAGTGGATCCCCAGTTGGCACATGTAGAATGGGAAAGAGATCACAGCATTTGCTTCCCTGTTAATGGGAGGACCTTTAGTCTATCTGAATATCTGTTGAATGAATGAACTCTACTGCCCTTTCTGTAAGAGAAGAGACCTTAAGGCACCAAGCTGAGAAATAGCCTTGCAGAGATAACACATGTGTGTTTGTGTGTGTGCGTGTGTGACAGGGTCTTGCTCTGTCACCCAGGCTGGAGTGCAGTGGGGCAATCTTGGCTCACTGCAGCCTCCGCCTCCCAGTTCAAGGGATTCTCCTGCCTCAGCCTCCTGAGTAGCAGGATTACAGGGGTGCCACCACCATGTCTGGCTAACGAAATAACCTTTCTTAAAAAAAGTTTTTAAAAACCCAGGGGTTCAGTTGAGGTTGATTTTAGACCATCTGTAGCAGAGTCCTGGACAGAGAAGTGACGTGATGAAAACTGTATTTCACAACTTCAGTGGAGTTAAATACTATTACATTAACAAAGAGTTTTTAATGACATAAGGAAATGGTTGCTATGTCATCTTACGGTGTTAAACCAAAAAAAAACCTCAATCCAAAATTTTAAAAACACAAAAGATACAAAATTATGTATATAATATTATTTTAAAAGATAGAAATAAATCTGGAAGGTTACATCTCAAAATGTTAGTTGCCTCAGCTTGGTGGGTTTTGTGTGATTTTTAAATTCCGCCCCTTTACCCACTTCTCTATTTTCTTGATTTTGTTCCATGATCATGCTATTGCTTATATAAGAAGAAGAAAACTAAGGTAAGGAAAAAACGTTAGTGGTATTAGAAAGGCCTCTCCTTTTCTCTCTTCTCTTGCCCAGGAGAGGATGAATGTGTTTGGAAACTAGAGAGTGTCATGCTGGTGGTGCTGTGCCACAGGAAAAGGCCACTTCTGGCAGGTGTGGTGGCTCATGACAGGCTCATGCCAGTAATCCCAGCACTCTGGGAGGCCGAGGTGGGAGGATGGTTTGAATCCAGGGGTTTGAGAACAACATGGGCAACAGAGTGAGGCCCCCATCTCTCTATTAAAAAAAAAAAGAATTAAAAAGGACACTTTCATCCCATACCTTGCTGTGATGATCAATGCAATTATCATGCTGAGAATGACAACGCCAGCGATGGTGCCCACAATAGTGAGGATCAGCTGAAATTCTGAAAGGGAGAAGAAAATAAGAACAGTCTCCAGCAAGCCGGCCCCCAACTGTCTACTGCACAGGTTCGTGATTCCCAGGGACTCCTAGCTGTGAAGACGATCAGGCTCTGGTCTCCAACCCTCCAGGCCCGGTTGGATAGTTGGCCTATTTCCTTTAGCATCCGCCCCTCACACCTCCTAAACTGTGCCTTCAGAACTCAATTGGAAAGGGCAGCCTTGCCAGACAAAAGACTGTAAATATAAAGGAGGCCGATGGTGGCAGGGTCTTCCTGGACTTTGTGGGGAGTGGAGTATTAACTGAGGGCCACACCTCCCTCCTTACCTCTGCTGCCTTTGCCTGCCCTCCATACCTCACCTTACTGATAAGCTAAGGAAACCAGGTTGGAGTTAAATGTCACTGCTAGAGGAGCCAGCTAATGGCTTGATAATAACATCAATGAGGGAAGAGTCTAGACATTCATTATCACCCATTCTCCTCTCCTAACTCTGCCCTGGTTGGCACTATTGACACCTGACTGCGGCTATGAGACACAATGTAACAGACACACCAGATTGCAAACACCTCATGTGAAAAAAATGTGAGATAATTGGTTTATCTTTTTTTTATTGATTCCATGTTGAAATGATATTTTGGCTATATGGGTTAAATAAAATATATTCTTAAAATCAACCTCATCTGTTTCCTTTTACTTCTGATAATTTACTTGAAATTTCTAAAATTTCAAATGAAATGTGTAGCTTGCATAATATTTCTATTGCACAATGCACAACACTGCTCTAGACCTCTTTGTCTCTTTCTGTTATATGACTTCCACAAATGCCACTTTTAATGTGGATTCATGGGGCCATAGACTAGCAAATCTGGGAAAGACCTCAAAGTTTGTCTGGTCCAAACTTCTCATTTTATAGGTGTGGAAATTGAAAGCCCTGAAAAAAGACTTAGCAAATTATTCCTTGCAATAAAATACAGTAAAAATGGAGAATGTCACTCATCACTATCTTCATGGCTGGCAGGAAGGCTGACAGTAATATTTCCTTCATCTTGGAAGACTGATCTTTAGTTCATTATGTACATTTTAGAATATAAAATGATTGAAAATTTAAAGCTAGTATTGTCTTAATCTGGTGGGGGTGGGGCATGGGAAGGAACAGAATTTGAATTTGCAGCAAAATATCCCAAACCAGTAAACAGCTCTGAGACAAAAGGATTTGAGTATTTAAATGTCTGGTTTCTAGGTCTGCTCTTCTACAATCACCAGAATTTTTGGAATGTACTGGTCTTTTATCTCTAGTAGCAGCAGATAACACATAGGTAAGCTAATGTAGGAAATCAATATAATGCTAAGACACCCTTCTCTGGTCACAAGCAAGTCCAGAGGTACCAGCCCACTCTTGGGGCTGACTTCTGTTATTTTCTACGGCAGAGGGGCTGCTGTTCATAACCTAAGGGTGGGCATGGCATGGCAGGACCCAGAAGGCAAACTGGAGGCAGACGGTCTCTCTCTTTATGAAAGAGGACAGAGACTTTGAAGGACTGGGCAGGATGTTGAATGGGGTCACTACTGATTTCTCAGATGTTTAATAACTTGTTTATAATAGCAAGACTTTCATACTCACTGTCCTCACAGTCGAGTCCGCTGTAGCCAAATGCACACCTGAAATACAGTGAGCGATAGGAAACAGTGTTAAAGAGCCCCTGTGGGGAGCGTGTCAGAGTTCCCACCCCAATCTCCACCTCTTCCTTTCCATCTTCCTTTTATTCTGTCCTCCCTTGCTTTTTTTTTGCTCTTTCTTTTGTCTTCCTTACACTCTCATTCTTCCAGGAGACCACCTTCCATGGGGTTCTGGAAAGGTGAGGGGGGTATGCAATCCCATGCAGGCTCATTTGTTACTGACTGAACACTCCATCCTCCAGGCTTCAGGAAGATTCTGCAATTCAGGCAAAACTGGACCCAAGAGGCATGGAGGGTAGTGGGACCCTCTCAGGCTGTGACACCACATGGCTCTGCCACTTATTTGCTGCCCTGTGAGCTGGAGGATGTTATTTACATTCAGTTTCCTCACCTGAAAATGGGAAATTAAGACATTTCCTGACAGTGTTGCTGTGCGATAGGTATTACCTAGTGTGTTTCCTGGAGCATAGACGATGCTCAAAAACTATCCATGATGCTGGGCGCAATGGCTCATGCCTGTAATCCCAGCACTTTGGGAGGCCGAGGAGGGTGAATCATGAGGTCAGGAGTTCAAGACCAGCCTGGCAAAGATGGTGAAACCCCATCTCCACTAAAAATACAAAAATTAGCCGGACGCAGTGGCAGGCACCTGTAATCCCACCTACTCGAGAGGTTTAGGCAGGAGAATCGCTTGAACCTCAGGGGCGGAGGTTGCAGTGAGCCGAGATTGCGCCATTGCACTCTGGCCTGGGGGACAGAGTGAGACTCCATCTCAAAAAAAAAAAAAAAAAACTATTGATGATGATGATGAAGATGCTCTGTCTCTGCCAACCTATGCAAGCTTACCAACTTCCTGACTCAGCGCCTATATATGTGTTGTAAGGTCTCTCTTCTTTGCCTAGCTCCAGCTATGGCAAGACAAAAACAAAGTAATTTTTCTTACTTTTGGCAATTCCCATTACCATCTTCCTCATAGCCGGGCACGCATGCACACTCAGGGGCCCCGCCGTTCTTCTTTATTAAGCATTCCTTGTGCTCTGCATTGCAGGCATCAGGACACTTGAGACTGGAAGCTTCAAAACAGAATGATTTCTGGGTAATTTTCAGAAACAATCTCTTTAACCCCAAAGTCACATGTGACAACATGACAGTGTTTTTCACATTGCTTCTTCTAGGTAAAATGAGATGCTTATTGACTCCATACATGATGTGTCCCCTGTGAAGCTGGACATGGGTTAGCAAAGGTCCCAGCCATGGTCCATATGTCTAAAGTCAGAAGTCACATCACTTGGACTCTGAAATGCACGTGGAAACTTAAGCAGTGAATTTTGTTGCAAAAGGAGAGAAAGTGGAGTTGTGAAGAACATTTAAAAGCAGGTGAAACACTTACCAACACAGAAAGGGCTCTGTGGGTTAGTCCTTTGCAGGCCAGGTTTGCAATCGCATGCCAAACCATTGATGCATTCATCCGCAGTCTTGTTACAGCCATAATAATCACACCTAAAGGTCACTGAGAAGCACAAATAATTTTAAAATATATTCGGCATGACAATATGGATAAGGTAATTTGTGAAAATTACTCCACCCCATTGCTGTTATACTTTGCATTTTAATAAGTTTTGCGGCCAGGTGCAGTGGCTCACAACTGCAATTCCAGCACTTTAGAAGGCCAAGGCAGGAGGATCGTTTGAGCCTAGGAGTTCAAGATCAGCCTGGGCAACACAGTGAAAAAATTTAAAAGTTAGCTGGGCATGGTGGCAAGCTCCTGTAGTCCCAGTTACTCAGGAGGCTCGAGTGGGAGGATCACTTGAGTCCAGAAGTTCAAGGTTACAGTGAGCCATGATCATGCCACTGCACTCCAACTTGAGCGAGAGTGAGACCTTGTCTCGAAATATAAAAATAAATAAATAAATAAAAATGGGTTGGAAGGCATTAGGGTTAAAAGATGAGTCTGGGCTGGGCGTGGTGGCTCACATCTGTAATCCCAGCACTTTGGGAGGCTGAGGCTGGTGGATCATGAGGTCAGGAGTTTGAGACCAGCCTGGCCAATATGGTGAAACCCTGTCTCTGCTAAAAATACAAAAATTAGCTGCGTGTGGTGGCAGGCACCTGTAATCCCAGCTACTCAGGAGGTTGAGGCAGGAGAATTGCTTGAACCTAGGAGGCAGAGGTTGCAGTGAGCCGAGATCATACCATTGCACTCCATCTCCGGGTGACAGAGCAAGACTCTGTCTTGGGAAGAAAAAAAAAAAAAACAAAACTGAGTCTGAGAATGGATTAGGGGGAGAGAATAGGAGTAGTTAGAGTCATATGGCTCCTGTCTACTAAATATCCCACACTGTAACTGAGCCTCCTTCATCAACTGCCACATGAAAATGCCTCGGATTAAAAGCCTAGAGCAAGAGATTCTACAATTTTGGGCAAAGAAAACAATTTATCTTTGCCACTGAAGCCAGAGAACAGGAAAAAGTATTTTCCGGCCAGGTGTGGTGGCTCACACCTGTAATCCCAGCACCTTGGGAGGCCAAGGCGGGCAGATCACCTGAGGTCAGGAGTTCGAGGCCAGCCCGGCCAAAACAAAAATACAAAAATTAGCTGGGCGTGGTGGCGCATGCCTATAATCCCAGCTATTTGAGAGGCTGAGGCAGGAGAATCGCTTGAACCCGCGAGTTGGAGGTTGCGGTGAGCCAAGATCATCCCACTGCACTCTGGGCAACAGTGTGAGACCCTGTCAAATGAACAAACAAACAAACAAACAAGCAAACATTTAAGAGATGAAGAAAGGAGTCTTAGAAGAAGCAAAAAGAAGGATGAGGGAGGCACAAAGGTGATTAGGAGAATGGTGGATGCAGGCCCAGGAAGAAGGGACCATCTAGAAGAGAACGATACTAGTGTCAAATGCTATAGAAAAGTCAAATAAGTTGTGGCCCAACAGAGGATTCTGGATTTGGCAGCCAGCCAGGACTGAGAACCAGCTGCAAACACCTCTTCCCGGGACTGGCCCCAATGGGTCACCTCTGGGGTGAGGAACTTCTGATGACTGCTGTGGTGGATTGACTGCAGTCATGACATCAATTTACTCACACCTTTCTGTACCCCTTTGGCAGGGCCCTTCCACACTGTGCTTGGTCATGAGAATTGCTTTAGCCAACTGGACAGTTGTAACTCTGACGTGTAAGCAGAGCCTTGAGAAATACTTGTGCATTTTACCCCCTTGCTTCTCTTGAAATCCTTTGGATGGGTCTGCTCAGAAGAAGAGACCATGTGGAGCAGAGACAAACCAATTATCTGACCCAGCAGCTTAATGGCAGATGCTTAAGTGAGCCCAGCAGAGATCAATTAAGCCTGGCCCAGATCAGCAGACTATCCACTTGAGCCCAGCCCAAATTCAGACCCAAAGAATTCCAGGGTTGCAATAAATAAATGGTGGTTGTTTTCGGCCACTACCGTTGTAACACAGCGAATGCAAATTGCTACAGCTACATGGTGGGTTTGTGTGTCAGTCTAAAGGGGAAAATAGTACAGGTAACGCTTGGTCTTGCTCTATTGCCCAGGCTGGAGTGTGATGTCATGATCTCAGCTCACTGCAGCCTCACCCTCCTGGGCTCACGCAATCCTCCCACCTCAGCCTCCTAAGTAGCTGAGACCACAGACCTGCACCACCACACCTGGCTGATTTTTTGTATTTTTTTTGTAGAGATTTTACCATGTTGCCCAGGTTGGTCTCAAACTCCTGGGCTCAAGGAATCTGCCAATCTTGGCCTCCCAAAGTGTTGGGATTACAGGCGTGAGCCACCACGCCCAGCCATAGGTAAAACTTTCTGTAATCATTTGGAAAGCTGTAACTCGACAGAAAGCCCCGTTGTTTCTCCTTTTCCTTTCCCTGTCCAGCAGTGGTTTGTCTGGTCATTTATACCTTCCTAGAGAGGAACACACTGGTCAGTTTGATGACTTGGAAGATAGCTGGAAAGAAGCAGAGGGCAAGTGAGCAAGAAAAGGGAAGAAGAATTGGTTAAAAAGAAATTTAGAGACAGTTGTCAGTTCAATGACGCAGTTCTTGCCTCCTTTTCACATATAATGAAAAGGTTTACAAAAAAGGTAGGTAAGTCTTCAGGTAAACTTTGAATAAAATTATACGATACTTACAATCATAGCTTAGAATGCTGCTTGAGTTCTTTCCAACTGCTATTTTAATTTTATCAGACACAGTCATCTCATTGTCACTTGTGGTTTCTGTCAAAATTGTTACTATTGTTACATTAACAAACTTGTCAGCAGCACGCATTTCAGATCTTGAGGACAGAGGTGTGCTAAAAATGAGATGAATCTGCTGTCACTTAATGAATTGAACTCAAGAATCAACAAATAAGTCTTCTAATCTCCCAGACTCCCGAATCTCCCGGCCCTAGTCCTGACCCGCTGTCCTGTCCCTACGATTGGGATCCACATATGGAGGCCAGGGGCTGCAAAAAGATGGCAATGTACAGACTTGGAGGTCTCTGTTTGATGTGTATTCAGAGGAAACCTATGGTGAAAACAATATTCTGTTGGAGAAAACTTAGGAAAATTGTGGATAATCATTTTTGGAAGAATTGTGAATCATCATTTGAAGGATCTAGGAGCCTAGAGCTAACCAGAATTAGAACAAGTAACACCTGAAATGGGAAATTGTCACTTTCTGTAGGACAGCGAGAGTAGGTCTTGCTGAACTGTTAAATCTCAGACTGGTTCTTTGAGAGAGACAGAGGGGCGCGTGTCCCTCCCTGTACACGGAGAAAGCGGCAACCAGCCATAGAGAGCCTGGCTCACTCCCAGAAAAGACCAGGAAGTCAGCAGGCAGCTTCAAAGTGGGAACATGATTGGCCTGGACACACACGACCCAGAGGAGAAGTGAAAAAGAGGGCCAGGGCTGCGGGAAACATGAGCACATACTACCAAATCCTACCCGCAATATGAAGTGCCTGCCACAGGCAAGACATTGCCACTGTCTCTCTCTCTAATCAGCACTGCAGTTCGGAGCCCTAAGCACAGCTGTGCAATTATTTCATTGTCCAAAATGAATCAAGCAATACAATCACTGAGAGGGGGAAAAGGGACTTTTAAAAACTTCTTCACTATCTGATTTGTCGCTCTGTGCTATTAAGCCTCAGGATATATTTTTGTTGTGTAAATTTTTTTCTAAACTCCTTTTTGACTTTTATTTCTTTTTTATTTTTTATTTTATTTTTTCTTTTGAGACAGGGTCTTGCTCTGTCACCAGGCTGGAGTGCGGTGGTGAGATCACGTCTTACCGCAGCCTCGACCTCCTGGGCTCAGCTGATCCTGCCGCCTCGGTCTCTCAAGTAACTGGGACCACAGGCACGCGCCACCATGCCCAGCTAAAATTTCATTTTGACTTTCAAATAAATGCAGAAGCCTGAAAATATAGCCAACCTATTTAGGCAATGTTTGCAGCCACCTTGGGTCCTCAGAACAATCAAGAAAAATCCAAAACATGAACCAAATTCCATTTTTAGGCACAATCATCTCAAAATGGAGTCCAAAAAATGAAATGGGCTTCAGCATTGTAATTTAATGTTTTCTACCATAATTCGTTCACGATGGGATTTGGTGGTGGGGCGGGGGCGGGGAGTGGGAGTGGAATGTAATAGGGCAGTGAGAAAGGTGAACTTGATAAAAATTATTCTATATTGGTTGAAATACATGGTATAGCTTTGCACTGGGGCTAGGAAAGCAAATGCCATCCAAAATTTATTCGTTAAAAGAACCTACAGGTTTATACTGTAATTCAGGAGGCAAGACGTTACACCTGTGAAACAGTTAAAGTGAACACTGGAGCCACTGCACACTTGAGTATAAATGACGAGGGCACTAGGCTTGGAGTTAAGACATGAGGTCCAGACCCTTGTGGCCCAAGACCAGTCAGCTTCTCTGGGCCCGAGTTTTAAAGAGAGGTTTTAAAGAGAGAAATTCTGAGGATCCTTCCAATTCTAACATTGCTGTAGTAGGAAAGAGCTTCGGGAGTCAGAGGGGAGAGATAATTTTGGGCTGGAGCCTAAGAAATGCCTTTCTAGGTGAGCCCCAGGTGCATTTGCCCTGCAATGGGCCCCGAGGTGGGGGATGTAGTTCCCTCCATGCCTCTGAGCTCACGGGTGAAGGTTTGCCTCCAAACAAGCTTGGCTCCCTTTTAGTAACTCCTTAAGAATCAAAGGAGTGCCACAGTTTTGGGGATGCCCCAAATGACCTTGTGGGACCAGCTCTCCATCACACTGCAGGGTCCCATATTCTAGAAAGGAAACAGAATGGTGTCGAGATCAACCATGTGCCAGGCACTGCATACAGGGAATCTTCCAAATGTTATCTCAGTTACTCCTCACAAGGCTCCAGGGAAGTTGATCAGATTATCCCAATTACACAGATGCAGTGACAAAGGTTCTGAGAGGTTAGAACACCTGCCTGGTCACTCAAGGATGAAGTGCCAAGGCCAGGATTCAAGTACAGGTTTGGCTAACTCCATTCCAATTTCACCGTTCCTGTTTGTATCCAGTCATCCCCTACCCATGAACTGGCTGTTGTCCACTAAACCAAACCTAATCCCTAGAAACAATTCACAGCCCTCCAGCAGCTGTCTGCCGTACACCTCCAGCTACAGAGTCTCTGCGTTTGGGCCCAGCCCGTCTGCTTGCTGCCAGCCTCCCACCATGCAAACTGTGCCTCTTCACTGCCAACCAGACTTGCCCCTCATTCAAGACCAAGCTAGAAATCCATCACTTTCAAAAGACCTCTCTGAAATTTTATACACAAACTCTCTCTCCCTCTCTCTCTCATTCCACAAAAGATTTTTAAAAGATTTTTTTTTTTCAGGCCGGGAGTAGTGGCTAATGCCTGTAATCCCAGCACTTTGGGAGGCTGAGGCGGGTGGATCATGAGGTCAGGAGTTCAAGACCAGCCTGATCAACATGATGAAATCCCGTCTCTACTAAAAATACAAAAATTAGGCCGGGTGTGGGGCGTACACCTGTAATCCCAGCTACTCTGGAGGCTGAGGAAGGAGAATCGCTTGAACCCAGGAGGTAGAGGTTGCAGTGAGCTGAGATCATGCAACTGTACTCCAGCCTGCATGACGGGAGTGAAAAAAAAAAAATCTTTTTGTAGAGATGTAGTGTCACTATGTTGCTTAGGCTGGTCTTGAACTCCTGGCCTCAAGTGATCCTCCAATTTCAGCCTCTCAAAGTGCTAGGATTATAGGTGTGAGCCACCATGCCTGGCTTCCACAAAGGATTTTATATGGCTTATAAGGATAAACACAATAGTAAGACTTAAGATGTAAATAGTGCATTGCTACATGAGGACTGCTTTTCCTACCTAACTTCGTTTGTCTTAGAGCATTCTTTCCTCAGCCTGAGTACTTGTGTATTAATGTGCTTCAGAGGAGGCTGAGATGCAATTGCTAATTTCTTGAGAATCTTCTTCCTCTTTATTTCCCTAAATAGCACCCAGCACTTGCCATTACCTATTGAAGTGCTCAATAAGTGCTTGTTCTCACTGCAGAAAGAGCTCACCACTGACCCTTCGGTAGCCAGGTGTGTGATTTGGGTGTTCTTGTCCGCCTCACACTTGCCATATGAGGGAAGAGATGATCACGGGCCATTCAGTCTCCCCCTGGCCCGCTGGAATGCACATTCCAGGGATTGACTAGGTATGGTTTGCAGCCATGGGATCAAGACAAAGAGATCCAGATGATGTCCTGGGCCGTGTGCACAAGTTGTTGCACAGCCAAGCACAGACAGAATCTTGCCTTCTGCAGGCCACACCCTGCCCAGAGTTGGGGTGACATCAGAGGCAGGGCCAAGGCACACAGTCCCCTTTGCAGTGCTCAGACTGAGACTGACCCTCTCCTCTTAACTTGTGGCTTGCCACAGAGGGTCTTAATGTTACATGCAGACCTCAAGAGAAGCTCGGAAGTTAGACAGACACACATCTGCCTCCAAAGTACTCGGCAGTCCATAACAAACTTACCTTACGTTAAGAATTACAGTCTGTCCATAAACAGATGTGCCAAATACACCGTTAAGCTGTGGAGGAGAACAGATTTAATAACAAGTAAAAAACAATTTTTTTCACATTTTCTACAAATCAAATGGGCAGAAAAAAATAATACTCTATCTAGCTTTTAACAGGATCCAACTGGGTAGAAAATGGATCCTGGGGGACTTCTTAGGGCCTGAGCTGGGACTGCCCCTACAAAGGCTGCAAAGAGGACCTTGAAGAAAGTAAGCCGTCTCTATTTTTCTAACTCGATTCTAATGGTTGCAAGGGAGCTCTGGTGCATCCCTTCTGGATTACAAATCTCCCAGGAACTAAGAATGCCTCATCACCTCACTGGTTTCCCCAGGAACATCAAACCCTGACTGAGATCAAGTCTCTAATCTGATCTCTGAAGACCGGGGCATAAGGCCTGTAACTGGAGGGGGCTTTTGTGACACTCACACTCAAAGTCAAGTTTGAGGAAAGTAGTGCTAAGTGACCATTGCTCAGTAAAGCCACATGAAGTACTTCAGGGGTTCCCTGGAAGTAGGACCACATTGATGTTGCTGTCTTCAATGTACTGAAACCATCCATGCTGGCAAATTTGAAAGCAGATCCGAGATGAGAGGGCAAGTCACTGCCAGCTGGCCCACAGGGCAGAGGTGACATGGCAAAGGGGCAGAGCAAACTCTGTGACACAGCAGCCACAGATTCTATCCTAGCATTGTCAGGTACTGGCTGGCTGTGCAGTTGGAAGCACTAGCTCTCTTTGCACCATCTGTAAAATCATTTCCATGATACGTTTTTTACATGTTACCAGTTCTAATAGTGATATAATTTCAAATTGAGAGACACTGTCATGGAATAAGACTTCAGCTTTAAAAAAATGTCTCTCCATCTCTACTTCTTTTTTTTTTTCTCCTGGCAGAGTCTTACTCTGTCACCCAGGCTGGAGTGCAGTGGCATGATCTTGGGCCACTGCAACCCCCACCTCCTGGGTTCAAGTGATTCTCCTGCCTCAGCCTCCTGAGTAGCTGGGATTACAGGCGCCCGCCACCACGCCCGGCTCATTTTTTTGTATTTTTAGTAGAGATGGGGTTTCACCATGTTCGCTAGGCTGGTTTCAAACACCTGACCTCAAGTAATCTGCCCGCCTCAGCCTCCCAAAGTGCTAGGATTACTCGCATGAGCCGCCGTGCCCAGCCTCCACCTCAACTTCTAAGACATATTTAAGGCTAATATTTTTTCCTTTAAAACTGAACTTTGAGCTATATTGGCTGGATGCTCTCTGAGAGTCCTTCCAGGGCTAACATCTGTGGCTGCAAAATGGAAAGACCCTTTCCTTTCATGCTCGCTCACACGTGTGCACTCGGTCACAATAACCTAAACGATGGGAAAGTCTTGTTCATGCCAACATTTTTGAAAATGGGAAAAATAAGTAACAGATATTCAGATATAATTATTCTTCTAGACATTTTTTTAAAGCCAGACTAGTATGAAAATGTATGCAAATTTGAATATAAAAAAGAAAAACAACATCTTTAAATTTTTTCTCTTTCATTCTGTGGAAATAATTTATTTTAAAACTTCATAATATGTATCTGTCCATTTAAAACTGTATTAATAGCTTATAAAACAATGGGTATGGTATGGCTGGAGCCAGCTTCTGCAGGCCCTCTGCCATGCCAGGCCAGGTGCCATGCCTCCAGGTGCAAGACGATGGGGTGGTCCAAGGGTCCCAGGGGAGAGGCCTGGGCAATGAAGAAGTGGTGGCACCGGTGGAGGCACTCAGGACAGCTGCTGTTTACCAACCAGTAAAGGTACATTTCACTGTTTGAACAACTGGTACCATGGTACCAGCGTGAACCACCTGAAGACCAGCTCTACTCTCTGCAACTCAGTGTTAGAACAAAAGAATGTTTTACAGAACGGAAAGCTGGAAAATACTTACGAAGTCAGTAATTTTACTATGCAAATCTTGATAGGCCACAGAATGTTTCTCTTCTGGATCAAATGTTTCTAATACGTTCACTGAAATCATCCCAGGGAATACCTTTCCTGAAAGTTAAGCAGACTCTTTCTGTACTAGTTAATGAAAAGAGGGTCATTTCCATTTTGTTTTAAAACATAGATTATTTTTTCGAATTCCCAACATTGTATAATGACACTACAGGAAATCTGGAAATATTTTTAAAGTTATGCATAATCCCACCCAACCTGGCACAACCATTTTCATTTTGGTATATTTCTTTCCGTTCACAGTTTACATCATTGTTGTAATTCCAAGTTTATGCCATATTTCTTTTTTTCTTATTATATAATAGGTATTTTCCAAATCATTGCCTAGTCTTTTTTTTTTTTTTTTTTTTTTTTAGAGAAAGAGAGAGACAGGGTCTTGCTCTGTCACCCAGGCTGGAGTGCAGTGGCACAACTGGCTTACTGCAGGCTTGAACTCCTGGGCTCAAGGGATCCTCCTGCCTCAGCCTCCTGACTAGCTGAGACTACAGGTATATGCCACCACAGCCAGGCAATTTTTTAACATTTGTAGAAATAGGGGTCTCAGTATGTTGGCTAGGCTAGTCTCAAGTTCCTGGCCTCAAGTGATCCTCCTGCCTTGGCCTCCCAAAGTGCTAGGATTACAGGTGTGAGCTCCTATGCCTGGTCTCATAACCATCATTTTTAAAGGTTGCATAATATTCTATGAAGTATATCTTCCCTTCCTTGATGTAACCATTTTTTGTTATTGGACTTAGTGCTTTTAATTATTTAAAAGGAAAAGAAAAAGGTTGCAATGAACATCTTCACACACAAACTGTTCTTCTGTATTTGGGATCACTTACTTAGAGTAAATTCCCAGAAGTGAGATTATTAGTGCTAAAAATATGAGCATTTGGGGGGCTTTTGATATATCCCTAACCCAGTGGGCAATGCAATGCATTAATTTCTTATAGAATTGGCTGCTCTGGAAAATGAAGATATTTCTCATTCATAAAACAGAAAAAAACCAGAACTAGAACTCAGACAGTCAGTCCTCAGACCTTCATTGCACCCTGGTGTTTGATCTAATCAAAACATCATTATGCCACAGGTGTATAAATGTACTCCTGAAATCCATTTTTAGAGCTGAAGGGCTCTTATATCTCTAAGAGGGGGATCTGATGTTGTGGAGCAAACAAATCTTGTGACACAGAACTGAAGATCAGGTTCCCAGGGTTGCTGGACTATGTGGTCTTAGATAGATCACCTTGTTCTACCTCAGTGTCCCTAAGTAACAGCACTTTTCTCTACTTTGCTGGCCTTTGTTGCCTCCACATTTTCTTTATCTCTGATATTTTGGAATCTCCTTTTGCCATCATTTTGAGTTTTCGATTCCACTTTTGGTATGAGATACAGAGCTCAGACACGGCTCATCCCTTGTAACTCACCTTTCTTACACGTAGAAGAGTTGTAGTAATACCCTTCTAAACACAGGCAAAAACGTGTATTATGCAGCTCAACACATAATGAATTATCTTCACAAGGATCATCTTGGCAAGGATTGCTGGGACCTTAGATGGAGTAGAAAGAGATTAGAAATCCAGAGAAATGACAATAAATAACAAGAGGAAATGTATTTTTCCATCTTCTTGCCTCCCTCCTGGGCCCTTTCCATTCCTTGGTTGTGTTACTCCACAGCACACTTTTGGAAGAGTTAAAAACAAATATTTGCTTGCTTAGGTCTCTAGAGAGTTGTTTCTGAAATTCTAGAACCAAATATAATACTCGTCAATAGTAAAGATCAGAGATTAGTGGACAAGGGCTTGCCCAGAGAAAGAGAGATTGCAGTCTTCTAACGCCAAGGAGTCAGGAATCTTCAGATCTCAAAGTCCCCCCAGAACCTTGAAGCACGGTCCTCTAACACAAGCTGGGGCTCCCCAAAACATTCTAGATAAAACGTCTTATTTTTAGAAAGGTATGAAGAATCAAACAGCCAAGAAGCTCAGAAAAGAAACTAGATGTCATATTCTGGTAAGCATACCTAGGAGACATAGCCATAAAAACAGGAATGGGACAGGAAAGGAGAGAATGCGGATTAACTCAGTGAAAATTCTAAGAGGCCATGAGAAGACACTCCAGCCTCTGGCTTTCTCAGTGGATCACTTGAATAAATGGTGAAAATAACACTGCAATGAGTTCTACACTGCAGGCCGAGACTCCCAGGCCAAGCAGAGTGCAGTATCTTTCTCTCTCTGGGAACTGATGAGGTCTGAGGAGGAGAGTTAGCTCAGTGGTCCAACAGTGATCTGGGCTGCCAGTTTTCTTCATTTCTGTCAAGTGGAATGATTCTGAGCTGCGATGGCAGAATAGCTTATGTGTTTGATAACCTTCAAAGCTGTCTTGAGAGTCTTACAAACCTATATGTAGAAACCACTGATTTCTTTAAAAGCTGTATGTAAGGTACGATGTGTATAACATGCTCTCTTTTGTGAATAAAAGAAGGGGAGGATTATACACAAGCAAATATGTATGCTTATATTTGCATAGGTATTTCAGGAGGGGGATACAAGGAATTGGCCACAGAAGTTGCCTCTGGGGAAGGAAACTCGGGGTCTGGGTCCGAGGGGTTCAGGAGGAGAGCGAGATTTAATTTTTATTGCACACGATTTGGCCCTGTTTGAGCTGCTTTTTCCATAATCATAGGCCTAATTTACTTCTTTTAAAAAATAAAAAGTAAAATAATGCTGGTGAGAATATGGGGCAACAGGAACTCTCATTCATTGTTTGGTGGTAATGCAAAATGCCACAGCCACTTTGAGAGGAAAGTTTGGTGGCTTCTTACAAAACTGAACATACTCTTACGAGAAGATCTGAGAGTCGCCCTCCTTGGTATTTAACCAAAGGTGTGGAAAATTTATGTCCACACAAAAACCTGCACATCCACGTTAATATCAGCTTTGTTCATGAGGGCCACAACTTGGAAGCAACCGAGATACCGTTCAGTAGGTGAATGGATAAACAAACTGGTACATCTAGACAATGGAATATCATTCAGCACTCAAAAATGAGCTATCAAGCCATGAAAAGACATGGAGGAAATGCATACTACTATGTAAAAGAAGTCAATCTCGAAAGGCTACATACCGTATGATTCCAACTGTATGAAGTTCTGGAAAAGGCAAAACTATGGAGACAGTAAAAAGATCTGTGGTTGCCAGGAGTAAGAGGGGAGGATGAAAAGCGCAAAGGATTCTTAGGGTTGTGATCCCATAATAGTGGATGCATGCCATACATTTATTTGTCCAAATTCATAAAATGCATAACACCAAGAGTGATCTCTAATGTAAACTATGGTCTGTAGGTGATAATGATGTGTCACTGGAGGTTTATCAATTGTAATAAACACACCACTCTGGTAGGGGATGTTGATAATGTATGTGTCGGGCCAGGGAGTATATAGGAAACCTCTGTACCTTTCTCTAAATCTTGCTATGAGTCTAAAACAGCTCTAAAAATAAAGTCCATTAACATTATTTTTTTGAGACAGGGTCTTGCTCTGTGCCCAGCCTGACACAATCTTGGCTGGCTGCAACCTCTGCCTCCAGGGCTTGAGTGGTCCTCCCACTTCAGCCTCCTGAGTAGCTGAGACTACAGGTGTGTGCTACCACACCTGACTAATTTTTGTATTTTTCTTTTGTAGAGATGGGGTTTTGCCACGTTTCCCAGGCTGGTCTTGAACTCCTGAGCTCAAGTAACTCACCCACCTCAGCCTCCCAAAGTGCTGAAATTACAGGCGTGAGCCATCATGCCCGGCTTCCATTAACAATTTTTTTTTTTTTTTTTTTGAGACGGAGTCTTGCTCTGTCGCCCAGGCTGGAGTGCAGTGGTGCAGTCTCAGCTCACTGCAACCTCCACCTCCTGGGTTCACGCCATTCTCCTGCCTCAGCCTTCCAAGTAGCTGGAACTATAGGCGCTCGCCACTACGCCCGGTTAATTTTTTGTATTCTTTAGTAGAGACAGGGTTTCGCTGTGTTAGCCAGGATGGTCTCGATCTGACCTCGTAATCCACCCGCCTCAGCCTCCTAAAGTGCTGGGATTACAGGTGTGAGCCACCGCGCCCGGCCAACAATTTTTTAAAGAGAAAAAAATAGACTATATAGGATAAAAGGAGGCATAGTTCAGTATCTTATAAACAAAATAAGAGTCACCCCTCTGACAAGGTATGAACCAGTCTTCTAAATAAAATTAATGGCTTCTTTAAGAAAAGCCTCAGCCACCTTGCAAAGATGACTTGGGACATCTTAGGGAAGAGACTGGATGTATCTCTTTCTGGAGATACCAGACAAGTAACTCCCGGGTGCTTTCTCTTCGGCAACGAAGGACAGACTTGTTAGCTTGTTTCATGGCCAGGAATTGATTAAGTCACAGGATGTTACAGCCAGAAGAGATTTGGGGGCTTTTTAGTTTAGTCTCGCCTTATTGCAGATCAGTAAGTTGAAGCCAAGAGAGAAATGACTTGCCCCAGACCCCACAGTTTATTCATGGTAGGGCCAGAACACAGGAAGATGGCCTGACTCTGAGGGAACACCTGGCAAAGCAGAAATGGCTTAGAAAACCTCCCTTTCCTGATTCCAGGAGAGCTGTGTCCCATTGGATCCCACCTTCAGAGTGGCCCCTCCAAACATGAAAGAAGACTGGGGAAAGACGTCTTATATACAGCCTCTGGGCTCTACTTGCTTAACCATCCACTTCTTAAATCTATCAAAGAACATTGAGGAAGCTACCAGAAGTTAAGGGTAGGGAGACATCCACTTGGTCTTTGACCCTGGGTGAGTCATGGCCCTCACTGGGTCCCAGCTTTCCCGTCTGAGAATGATAACATTTATCTAGATTCTTCAGGCTCTAAAGTGTGACGATTCTTCTAGATCAAGGGCTGGCAAACTATAGTTCACGAGTCATATCTGACCAACCTTTTGTTTGTTAACTGTGGCTGCTTTCATGTTAAAATAGTAGAGTGCAGGAGTTACAACAGAGACCCCACATGGTCCACAAGGCCATTTAGCCTTTACTGATAAACTTGGTTGATTTCTGTTATAGACTGAGCTTGGGGAAGTGAAGCAAATGGTTCCTGTTTCATTAACTTCTGCTTGAGGTCACTTGTCATCTCTTAGTGTTCCCAAAGCATCTGTCCTTTGGACAATGGCCCTGGTTATGCCTAGGACTGTTTGAACACTGCTGTTGTTTTGCTTTCTATGCGTCAGTCTCAAATTCTTGGCTTGACACAAGTTCCACATTGTGATCAGCCACCATCTTACCTCAAGGGTAGAACTGACTTCTTCCTTAGGTAGACCAGAGAGCTAGATCAGTGGGGCTGAACAGTCCATGCTTATTTGGACCTGGTCTTCTCAGAGAAGCTAAAACTATTTCTAAAAATCCTCTAGGGAGAGGAAAGCTACAGAGATACCTTTCACAAAGCCCGAGTTCATCGAAAAAAAATACTGCACAGCTAGCAAATAACTTGAGGTAGGATAGGAGGAAAGGAAAGGAGAACAGAAGGAAACTGAGGGTTTTAGGATCTCTGCCGTCACTACATTGTGACCCAGATTTCAAACCCACAGTTAATTTCCAAGGAAACCTTGGGCTTCTTTAGACTCATTTTCCTGGCCCATCAGAACACACCCACCTCCCTCCCTCCACAGTGGTATGCTCCATTCTTGGGGAGTCTTTGAGGGAATCGCCCTTACCTGTGGTGTTTAGGGTGCTGGTCTCCAGTGAAGTGCTGCCAGTGGGAGGCTCTGATGATTGGTTGTCTTTTGTGGTGAGGGACATTTTATTGTCACTTTGTGTTTCAGACGGAACCATTGTGATTGATCCATCATTTGTAGATGAAGCAGTGATTCTGTCAGATGTAGTTAATGAATTTGCATTTGCAGTTGACTCATTGTCTATAGTAGTAGGTGTAGGAATTGTGGAGGAATTATGTGTATTAATTGTGGGGGAAGCAGGTGAAGCAGCTATTGGGGGAGAAGGTGTAGTCGTGGTGCCAGCAGCTTCAGGGGAATTAGTTTCAGTGGCATTAATTGTAGCTGCTGTAGGATGACTACTTGCAGTTTCTGTGTTTCCTAAAGTGTCAGCTGAGTGGTCTTGGGCAGTGGCTGGAAGAACAAAGATACCAAGTTTGAGCAGACAGTACATTGAATAACTAATGGCAGTTACTTAATACTAATTCGTATCCAACTCATTCTTTTTTTTTTTTTTTGGTAGAGATAAGGTTTCCCCAAGTTGCCTAGATTGGTCATAAACCCCTGTGCTCAAGCGATCTACCCTCTTTGGCCTCCCAAACTGCTGAGATAATAGTTATGAACTGCCATGCCCAGCCTCAACTCATTCTTTTCTGGAAAAATGAATATATATGACTATATTAAAAATTAAAATACATGGTTATTTCTAAACACAAAAAACCCCACAATAAATAAAATTAAAAATTAGACAAAACTGGAAAAAATGTTATTGAAAAATGTGACAAAGAGTTAATGTTTATTTATTTATTTTAGAAATAAGGTCTTCCTCTGCCACCCAGGCTGGAGTGCAGTGATGTGATCATAGTTCACTGCAGTCTTGAGCTCCTAGGCTCAAGCAATCCTCCCACCTCAGCCTCCCAAATAGCTAGGACTACAGTTGTAACGCCTCCATGGCTGGCTAATGTTTTTTGTTTTTTAGAGATGGGGGTCTCACTATCCTGGCTAGGCTGGTCTCTTAACTCCTGGCCTCAAATGATCCTCCTGCCTCAGCCTCCCAAAGTGCTGGGATTGCAGACGTGACCCACCAGTCCCACAGAGGAGTTAATATTTTTTAAGTTGAGTACCAAGAAGCAATATTATTTATGCCTGTAGTTGTACAACTGTCGATCTGGGTTTAATATACTTCAGACTGTTCTCAGTGAGGACAATTGAGAATGCCACAAGGTGGCGCAGTGACTACCCGGAAGTGGACTCCTTTTGTCTTTCTGCACTTTAAGGCAACTGCCCCTATTTTTCATTACCTTGATAGATTGAGGGAGGGAAAGGTTAGGGTTGGGTAAAGAACAATAAAATAAAAATACCTCATTAAGTGCTTATTATACTTCTTCCAAAATTGTATTCTAGTAGTGTTTTCCCATTCACAATTCTCGATACATTGACTAAGAGTAAGATGAATAAGTGATCTTTGCTTTCTGAGCTATGATGGGTATCAAAGTTGCATTTTCACAACTTTTAGGAACCCCTGGATACGTGGAGTGGTAAACTCTAGTGATTCAGTGATCTATTTTCTTTTCCTTTTTCTTTTCTTTCTTTCTTTCTTTTTTTTAGAGACATGGTCTTGTTCTGTCACCCAGGCTGGAGTGCAGTGGTGCCATCATAGCTCACTGCAGCCCCAAACTCCTGGGCTCAAGTGATCCTCCCACCTTGGTCTCCCAAGTGTTGGGATAACAGGTGTGAGCCACCTTGCCTGGCCCAGTGATAAGTTTTCTAGAAATTTTCATTGTCTCTAAGAACTCCGACCTTGACAATAGGTTAAAAAAATTATTGAAAGAAAAAGTTTTAGTGAGGAAGCGATTTCTAAACCTTAGGGTACAGAGAACTGTGGAATATGCTTCCTGATTCCCCCATGGGTCTATGAGCCCCTTGAGGGCAGAGCCTGGCTCTTCACCTTGAAGAGGGCTTGGCTAACATAGCCATTCAGAAATGTTGAAGACATCAGCAGTTGCTCTTCCTAGGCAAGAAATACATCACCAGCTGGCAATGTTGACTGCCACTCTTCCTATTCCTGCCACTCAGGATAGTTCTCATCTATCAAGCGCTGGCCCTGCGCCCGACAGTACCTGTGAAGTAGACGTAAATGCCCTCATTTGACAGAAGAGCCCACCAATACTCAGAGGGGTTAAGAAATTTGCCCAGAGGCAAAGCCAGGTCTGTAAGATGACAATATCCTAACTACCACTTGATTAAAGTTACGGGGAAGGCCATCCATTTAATGAAAAACCAAGACATCCCCGAGGAGCAAACACAAGAAGAGCAAATAGAGAAAATTGGGGATCAGAATGAAAGCAGTGGAAGCAGAAGTGACCTCCACGGTGCCCTCTATCACTGGGGTAGCAGTGAGAGTGGCCAGGGGCTGGCTCTCGCCATGGAAAACTCTAGACAGAAGAAAAGGGCTTGGCAGACTGTGGGTGCAAACAGCTCCAACCCCACCAGACCCTGAATTTCATGCTTTGGAAATGTTCATTCTTGGCCGATGCCAAAGAACCAACATGTTTCTGTAGATGTGCATAAAACAAATCGGGACATCTTAAGAGGTTTTCTGCAGGTCTTTGGAATTATGACAAGGAGTTTTGGACTTCTAGGCTTGTTTATTTTGGTTTTAAATTTCTGTTCACTAGGGAGATTACATTTCAGAATAATCAATTAGTTTGAATAAATGAGACACATTCCAAGCTGACAGCAATTCATTGCTGTGAATAGCTACAATTTTTAGAAATAACTAAAATATACTTGTGTGTATCTATGTGTATATGTGTGTTTTATCCGAGGGTTGTACAGATTTTAGGGAAGACAGCTTAGAGCTGAAATCCCAGGCTTAAATTATCTAGTAAAAATACCCAAGAGGAATTGTAAAATAACCTATTCTGTTCAATCTATAGATAACAGAAATATATGAAGACATCCGTGCAGTAAAAATAGCTTTAGTCTTTTTATTTCCTTAGGTCCTAAAACTTCTAAATAACACAAGGATAGCACAACGTCCATGGAGGTACAAATCATAGGTTTCAGTGGCAAAATATATGCCCTGACCTGGTTTCTTTCTGGGGAAGACTCCATAATCACCACCCCTGTCCAGGGCACATCTGTAACTGCTTTATTCAAAGCTAGCTGAAAGTCACAATCAAACACCTTTCTCCCAGATCTAAACTCTTCATTGTGATGAGATGTTGGTTCCCAAAGGCACTCATCAGATTCTGTGGAATAATGCAGTCCTAATCTCTCAGAGAAAGCAAAAACAACCTGGAAAGTTTTGCCTGTTAAAGGCACTTCAAATGTCACTGGCACATTTTTCGTTTGTTTCAGTAAATGCTTGTGTAGAGGTCCCTGCAGTCAAGGTGCTATACAAGGCCTGGGGGTGAGGAGGAACGTAAAGGTGTACAAGACACACTTCCTGCCCTTGGTTGCTCAGAATCCTGAGTGGCAACTCATGTTTGAAGTAGTGATTCCTTACACACACCTCCAAAATCCTTAACGTTACAGAAAAAAGCAACTTTAAAAAAATTTTCAGGCCAGGAGCTCATGTCTGTAATCCCAGCACTCTGGGAGGCTGAGGTGGGTGGATCACGAGATCAAGAGATTGAGACCATCCTGGCCAACATGGTGAAACCCTGTCTCTGCTAAAAGTACAAAAATTAGCTAGGCATGGTGGCACACGCCTGTAGTCCCAGCTACTTAGGAGCCTGAGACAGGAGAATTGCTTGAACCCAGGAGGCACAAGTTGCAGTGAGCCGAGATCATGACACTGCACTCTAGCCTGGCAACAGAGTGAGACTCTGTCTCAAAAAAAAAAGGCAACTTTTTAAAATGTATCAGGCCAGGTGCGGTGACTCATGCGTATAATCCCACCAGTTTGGGAGGCCGAGGTGGGCAGATCACCTGAGGTCAGGAGTTTGGGATCAGCCTGGCCAACATGGTGAAACGCCATCTCTACTAAAAATGCAAAAATTAGCTGGGCATGGTGGTGGGCACCTGTAATCCCAGCCACTCAGGAAGCTGAGGCAAGAGAATCACTTGAACCTGGGAGGCAGAGGTTGCAGTGAGCTGAGATCATGCCATTGCACTCCAGCCTGGGCTACAAGAGCAAAACTCCATCTCAAAAAATAAAATAAGGCCAGGCGTGGTGGCTCACGCCTGTAATCCCAGAACTTTGGGAGGCCAAGGTGGGCGGATCACAAGGTCAGGAGTTTGAGAACAGCCTGGCCAATGTAGTGAAACCCCATCTCTACTAAAAATACAAAAAAATTAGCCAGGCATGGTGGTGAGCACCTGTAATCCCAGCTACTTGGGAGGCTGAGGCAGGAGAATTGCTTGAACCTGGCAGGGGGAGGTTGCAGTGAGCAAAGATCGCACCATTGCACTCCAGCCTGGGCAACAAGAGCAAAACTCTGTCTCAAAATAAATAAGTAAATAATAAAATAAACTTTTTTTTTCAAAAGCAAACCTTAATAGCCACAAAAACTGTCAATATTAATATATCTGGAGGTAGATGGGTGGGAAGGCAGATTGGAGGCTCAATTTTTATTTCATATACATCTGTTTTGTTTGAATTTGTTACAGTGGGTCTGCATTACTTGTATAACTTTTTTAAACAAAGAAGAGGAAATCAAAACCAAAGTCTGAAAATCAGATCCAGGCTGGACGTGGTACTTCACGCCTGTAATCCCAGCACTTTGGGAGGCCAAGGCAGGTGGATCTCCTGAGGTCAGGAGTCTGAGACCAGCCTGGCCAACATGGTGAAACCTCATCTCTACTAAAAATACAAAAATTAGCCAGGTGTGGTGGCAGGTGCCTGTAATCCCAGCTACCCAGAAGGCTGAGGCAGGAGAATCACTTGAACCTGGGAGACGGAGGTTGCAGTGAGCCGAGATCGTGCCATTGCACTCTAGCCTGGGCGACAAGAGTGAAACTCAGTCTCAAAAAAGAAAAAAAAAAGAAAGGAAGAAACGAAGAAAGAAAGAAAGATCAGATCCAAGTGCAGACATGACAAAAAGGGAAATCATAAGCCCCTACTATGTGCCAGGGAGTATCCCAGCACATCAGGCTCTCTGTCTCATTTAATCCTCTCAGTCACTCTTCAGTATAGGGATTTCCCTTCTATTGTTGCACAGGAAGACACTGACGGTCAGAGACACCCCACAGCTAATAAGCGGTGGCATGCTGTCTGAATCCCTGCTTGCTCCACGATTTGCCCTTCCCCCTGGGTTCTCTGGGTCGAGAAACATCTCCATTCCCCTAAGGAACCTTGAGCCTCAATGATTCCTGATTCCCCTACCTCTCTATTCATCTCCTTGGCCCTCCCAGCCAACTTTCCCCTTTCTACCGCCCTTCTATTCTATTTTTTAAAAGTCAAGCCT